GAGACCTGTCTCAAAATATTCAATTGTCGTGGAACTTTGGCGCAACTGACTAAATTTAATGGCCCCTTGTCAGCTTCGGGCATGGAATTCCTCCCAGAGAGCCTCAGGGAGCTGAAAACCAATTCTGATGGGGAAGGGATGATGGCTTTGCTGAAGAGGCTTGCTCTCCTGCCGAAACTTCGGGACTTGGGTGAGTTCACATTTCACTGGACAGAGGTTACTGGGCTGACCTGTCTGGGGATCTTTAACAAATCTCTGTGTTGAGGTAAGCTGATTGATTATTTAGAAATATTGACTATATCAGCAACAAAGACAATTACCAGCTTTTCTTTTTGTTACGTAATTCTATATTTGGTAAAACTGGAAATAAGATTGCATGCCATGTGAATTTTGCAGGTCATAAAATATTAGTTCCTTCTGGTAAATGAAAAGATTCCTTGAATCAAAACATCCTCCCAAAGTCCTTTCCATTGTGTAGGTACTCTAAAGATAAGTAGTTAGGAATGTTGCATAACTCGACCAGCACTATCAGAGTGCTGCAGGCAATGTGTCTGTGAGGTTAAAGTGCTTGGTTGAAGGTCCAAAGATCTTAAGAGTGGTCCATCTGGCTCCCCAATTAGCATAGGCCCATGTTTGAATTGCTTTGCCCAACGCCGTGATCTGGGATTTCGGACACCATGTCTCTGAAATCTCAGATCCCAAGAGTGTGCTTGGAAGTCAGTAACCTGGGAATCCTACATTGTCTGGTTGTTGATCTATCATAATATGTTGCTGGACCATGTGATGTGTGCAGCTGGGGGCCAGAGTTCCTTCAAGCAAATGTGGAGAACAATGGAGGGAAAAGGTACGAATTTTAGCGGTGAGAATTCTGCTGTTGCCGTTTGCACACCCCAGGCAGGCCCTTGTCCAATGCTGATCTCAACACATAATGTGACATCTTTGCCCCAGTTTCATCTTTATTTCTTTATGGCTTGGTCTATTTCTAAGAAGGAAAAGGGGAATCCCAAATAATTATAGATCAGGGCAGTTTGAGAGTTGAGACCCTTGTGTTTTTCTGAATTTCAAGTTCATCTTTATAATGCTACCAATCAGCCAATACAGAGTTTATACTGTCTGAATTGAGTGTTTATTCATTTATCAATTGTTTTGGTAGAAACTGGTACATTCTCATCACTATGAATATTCAGTATAATCATGTGATTTTGATGATATGATTGTGTAATATGTGGTTCTAGACAGTGTTACAGATCCGTTGGACTGGACTTTAGAAGCCTCTAGTCGAAATAGAAAGAGCTGATTTTCCCACTAAGGACTTAGGAAATCATTTAATATTGAGTAATATTTCAAAATTTCCCCAGTAGATCAAAGTTCAAAGACTCTAGAGAAATAGGAAAATGGAAGACAACACCGGTTCCATAATTAGATAAGGGTTTTGATTCGCCAGCTTTAGTGTTCCATTTGTTCCATCTGCAAGAGTTGGTTCTGTGCCTGTTGCTCTTGTAATGGAAGCCTCGCGTTGGGCTGGTCACATGCGCCCTTCCTCTAACACGGTAAAAGGGAAATGAAAGACAAGTACATTACCATTTGGACGAGAATTTGTCTGAACAGTCACGAAGGAATGCTGAGCCTCCCACCTTTTCAGACTTCAGTGGATCCCTGACGAAAGTTGAGATAGAGCTCCTGCCAAAAGTCCTTCTGCAATTAGACGTCACAACAGACGGGGAAGGCCTGCGGGCTCTAGCAAGGAGGCTGCCACATCTCAAGTATCTTTACAACCTGAGTAAGAGTTCTTAGCCCGTTGTGACATATGTATGAATGGGAATGTTTAAATCAATTCTAGCTTAGAGACAACAATATCAATATTAAGAGAATCATTATAGCTGTAAAATTCTAGTTTCAAAATTGTGAAATCTGTGAACATTGCCTCTGTCATCCGTTCCCTTCCTTCTCAGATATATGCCTGCTGGATTGTCCCCCGGCTGACACACTGCTTGACTTGCCTTACGAGGGGTTCTTGAAGCTGAACTTGCGGCAGGTCACCCCCCCTCACTGGTTGTGGGTGTGTGACGCCCTGCAGAAGCTCCTGACCACGCGGACGGAGAAGGCCTTTGTCACGTTCCCACCTTGCTGTGGTAGGTTCCTCTCTTTCTTCCCTTTTTTTCTGCAACAGGAGGATTTCTCTTTTACTACCAGGTATGGGAGGCGTCTCTTCCCTACTGCGGTAGACAGAGTTTCCAGGCGTCCTCCGGTAGGTGGTTTCCTGTTTACTATACTCCGTCCAATTTCATGAAAGGAGAAAAATGACAACTCACCCCAGGGCTTTGGCATCCTCCGATTCATCAGGTTGCCTTTCGAAAATAATAAGTAATGCTTTCCAAACTCCAAAAGTGTATTGGCACAAGTAAGATTAATCAGGTGAGTAGTAAATAAAAGAAAAACAATATATCGAATCGGACACCTTCTAGGGCTGGTTCCCACTTTGTCCTTTTCACGAGAGCCC